GCGGTATCTGGGTGCAAAGGGAACGGGCAAAGCGCCGGTACCGGAGGCTGCCCGGGGAGCGCCCCGAGACCCCCGAACCCGTACCGGAGCTGAGGCTGGAGCCGGACGGGGACAGCTGGATGTCGGCCCCGCCGGGCTGCAGGCTGCGCTCCAGCTGCTCGATCTCCCGGCGGATCTTCTCCCGCTCCGCATCGAGGTCGAGGCCCTGGGGGGAGCGGCGGGGCCCGGCCCGGCCCGGCCCGGCGGACATGGCGGCACCGCTGCTCCCGGGGCCCCGCCCCCCGCTCCGCCAATCGCTGCTACGGTCGCGGGTCAGCTGATCGGCACGTGACACCGCGCAGCCAATCCGGGCGGCGCCCGCCGCACGTGCAAGGCCAGGGGCGGGACCGGAGCCCGCGGAGACCGCGCCGGGCTGGGCCTTGAACGGGACCGCGGCACCGGGACACGGCCCACAGCGGCACCGGGACAGCACGGCACCGGGACAGCACGGCACCGGGACAGCACGGCACCGGGACAGCACGGCACCGGGACAGCACGGCACCGGGACAGCACGGCACCGGGACAGCACGGCACCGGGACAGCACGGCACCGGGACAGCACGGCACCGGGACAGCACGGCACCGGGACAGCACGGCACCGGGACAGCACGGCACCGGGACAGCACGGCACCGGGACAGCACGGCACCGGGACAGCACGGCACCGGGACAGCACGGCACCGGGACAGCACGGCACCGGGACAGCACGGCACCGGGACAGCACGGCACCGGGACAGCACGGCACCGGGACAGCACGGCACCGGGACAGCACGGCACCGGGACAGCACGGCACCGGGACAGCACGGCACCGGGACAGCACGGCACCGGGACAGCACGGCACCGGGACAGCACGGCACCGGGACAGCACGGCACCGGGACAGCACGGCACCGGGACAGCACGGCACCGGGACAGCACGGCACCGGGACAGCACGGCACCGGGACAGCACGGCACCGGGACAGCACGGCACCGGGACAGCACGGCACCGGGACAGCACGGCACCGGGACAGCACGGCACCGGGACAGCACGGCACCGGGACAGCACGGCACCGGGACAGCACGGCACCGGGACAGCACGGCACCGGGACAGCACGGCACCGGGACAGCACGGCACCGGGACAGCACGGCACCGGGACAGCACGGCACCGGGACAGCACGGCACCGGGACAGCACGGCACCGGGACAGCACGGCACCGGGACAGCACGGCACCGGGACAGCACGGCACCGGGACAGCACGGCACCGGGACAGCACGGCACCGGGACAGCACGGCACCGGGACAGCACGGCACCGGGACAGCACGGCACCGGGACAGCACGGCACCGGGACAGCACGGCACCGGGACAGCACGGCACCGGGACAGCACGGCACCGGGACAGCACGGCACCGGGACAGCACGGCACCGGGACAGCACGGCACCGGGACAGCACGGCACCGGGACAGCACGGCACCGGGACAGCACGGCACCGGGACAGCACGGCACCGGGACAGCACGGCACCGGGACAGCACGGCACCGGGACAGCACGGCACCGGGACAGCACGGCACCGGGACAGCACGGCACCGGGACAGCACGGCACCGGGACAGCACGGCACCGGGACAGCACGGCACCGGGACAGCACGGCACCGGGACAGCACGGCACCGGGACAGCACGGCACCGGGACAGCACGGCACCGGGACAGCACGGCACCGGGACAGCACGGCACCGGGACAGCACGGCACCGGGACAGCACGGCACCGGGACAGCACGGCACCGGGACAGCACGGCACCGGGACAGCACGGCACCGGGACAGCACGGCACCGGGACAGCACGGCACCGGGACAGCACGGCACCGGGACAGCACGGCACCGGGACAGCACGGCACCGGGACAGCACG